CTACTCCTGGTTCCAGAAGGGGGAATGTTATCCAGGCCAGCCTTCAAAGTGTAATGAGTTCTCCTGGCCACAATGATTTGTTCAGAGGTGTGCATACGACCCAAGCTGAGACAGGGGGGTCAATCCTAGCATTATGGTGAGCTCTTTCTCTTGGGATTGTTAAACTGGAATCATACAGCTTGAAGTCAACACAGGGCTGCCTGAGTACAAAACCACTGAAAAAGAAAGTGGAGCCTAGAGATTGATGAGAAAGACAGTATCCTGAGGACATCATTTGAGTACGTGGATAAAGCCTTTCCTGAAGTTTACTCCTTAAACTTGCATGTATTAAGCCAATTAACCCTCTTTTGGCTTTGTCTTGCGTACAGCAGGAGTCCTGATATATCTTTTATATTGCCCTCCACCACTTGATATTGTGAGTGAACAACTTGGAGTCTTGGACTTTCCCTAACCCTCTCTGCCAATGCTAAATATGATAAATATAATTTCTAAACAATGCTCAGGCCTGTTCAGACTTCTTTATTTCATTTGCATGGGTGTGACTTAAATCCCTCTATGAGAGCAGCTTTTATATACTTCTGAGCGGGAATTGAGTGCTAAGCCAATTTACATGAGGATATTGTAGATGTCATCTTTCCTGGAAAACTTCCCTGCCTCTTACACTTCCTAACATTCCAGGTTAAGAGGCTCTCTTTTAGAGAGCCTGGGTGGCTCAGTTGTTAAGTGTCTGCCTTTGGCTCAGGTCATGATCCCAAGGTCCTGGGATCGAGTCCCACATTGGGCTCCCTGCTCGGCAGGAAGCCTGCTTCTCCCTCTCCCACTCCCCCTGCTTCTGTTCCTGCTCTCGCTCTCTCTCTGTCAAATAAATAAATAACATCTTTAAAAAAAAAAAAAAGAGGCTCTCTTTTAGTTTCCATACTTACCCTTTTTCCAGCCCCCTTTATTTTGTTATAATTGTTTCTTACCCGCTTTCCCAAGTGGAGTTCCTTTTGTCTTTTTTGTTTGTTTTGTAATCTCCAACACCCAGCCCAGTGCTTTGCACAGAGTAGGTACTTGACATACAATTATTGAATGAATGGATGAATAATGAATGATGAGAATTACACAAATTAGGAGAAACTCATTTCTTTCCCCATACTTTCTCTAAGAAGGCTGCAGCAAATCAGTAACTACATTTAAGATGTCTGCTCATCAATCTTGTTGCCTTATCTTCCATTCTATGAGGCATATAGAGATGGATCTTGGTAAAGTATTCAAAAACTGGCAACCAGGAGTGAAGGGTTGATAACAGGGAAAATGAAGAACAAATGAAGGAGCCTGGAAGTTATCTTGGGAAAGGAAGATTGGAATAGAAAACAAAACTGTCTTCCAATACTTGCAGTGGCTGGGAACCAGGGCAAAAATGAGGCCAATAAATTAAGACTGAAGTTCTTCCACAATAGAGAATTCTAATGATGAGGGCACACAGAGGTACAACATAGCTGCCTCAGGACTTGCTGAGCTTTCCACTCCTGAGGATGCCCCTGTAGAGCCCAAATATCAGTAGAACAGTAGATAGTGGGGGTCAGGAATTCAAATATTGGCCTTTACAAAGGTCTCCTGCCACCCAGAGAACATTAAGTTTTTAGAAACTTTTTTAAGAATTCCTAGAATCTGGGGTGCCTCGGTGGCTCAGTAGGTTAAGCGTCTGCCTTTAGCTCAGGTCATGATCTCAGGGTCCTAGGATCCAACCCCACGTTGGGCTCCCTGCTCAGCGGGGAGTCTGCTTCTCCCTCTCCCTCTACCTCACCTCCCCCTGGTGCTCGCTCGCTCTCTGGTGCTCACTCCCCCTCTCTCTCTCAAACAAATAAATAAAATCTTAAAAAAAGAAAAAAATTCTAAGAATCTTTGAATCTTTTAAGTATCTTTTTTTTTTTAATTCTACTAAGCTATTGTTTCTTATGTAATGAAACATTTGCAAATGAGGAATTGTAGCCCCCTCTTGCTCCAGTGCTACACTGAGGGACAAGACAATCATGTAGCCCAAAATCATGGCTTTGCATTTGGTTAAAACAGGGCTCAGAAGCATGGGATTCTTCTACATATGTCCTGTATTCTGCTCACCCCAATCTTAGGGCTTTATCAGTGCAAACTTTCCTCAAGTACGAGTGCATGTTTGTGTATGTCTTTGGGTAATTTTGCTTATCGTCCTTAGGTGGTGACTGATTAATGCAGGCCCTCCTATAAAAACCAAAGGTTGTGTTTGAAAAAGGGTAGTCTAAGGAACCTGCATCAAAATCTCCCAGGACATCTTAAGAATGCATATTCCTGGGTCCAACCAGACTTACTAAATGAGACCCTTCAGGGGGCTGGGCCAGGAATCTGCATTATAACAAGTAGAGGGGAGGAAAATGAATTCTCCCCCTACCCTTCTGGATTCTTAGCTGAGACCACTGTATAAGAGATGGATTAACAAGAGAAAAACAAACAGAAGGTTGCTAACATGCATATCTCATGTACACTTGAGCAATTCCAGAGAAAAATGAATAACTCACAGAGGTAGCTTTAGAATTTAGGCTTACCTACCATTTTAATAGGGAAAGAGGAGGAGAGATGCAGACTTTAGAGGAGAGAGCAAATTATTTTTAGCAAAGATGAGCGGGCCTTTAGAAGATGGAAGGTATGATCATTTATGACAAAGTATGTCTGGGTGTGGTGTCAACTTTTAGTCTCCTCTCCTGTGAGCACAGTCCATCCTCCCTGGGTGGTAAAACTCCCAAGAAGGGGCGCCTGGGTGGCTCAGTTGGTTAAGCGACTGCCTTCGGCTCAGGTCATGATCCTGGAGTCCCGGGATCGAGTCCCGCATCGGGCTCCCTGCTCAGCAAGGAGCTTGCTTCTCCCTCTGACCCTCCCCCCTCTCGTGCTCTCTCTCATTCTCTCTGTCTCAAATAAATAAATAAAATCTTGAAAAAAAAAAAAAAACAACTCCCAAGAAGAAGATTTATAGCAACTGAGTCCCTTTTAGAGACTGTCTTTAGGCAGATAAGGGGAGTTGAGAGAAAGTCTTTAACTACATTTCCCTGCATTTGCTGTCTTCAAGTACCTACAGCCCCAAAGAATCATTATGCCAAATTGGCATATTTTGGGGTAACACGTCCCAAACTCCTATAATCCTGTGGGGAAGGTAGTTGTCAGGGTTAGCTGTAGGGGTGTTTTCTTTTCTTTTCTTTTCTTTTCTTTTTTTTTTTTGAAGCGGAGAGGTAGTTTTATTTTAATTTTATGGGCTCCTTTCCCCCTTTTTATGGTGATCTAATTGCATTGATTAAAAGCACCTGACCAGTTCTTTAGACTATGCTCTGTAGTCAAGTCTAACCTTATTGACGCTGTAGATGGACAAGCTTGATTGTTTGAACCAAAATGGGAACATTAAACAAACATCACAGCCCTCACTAATAACATTGTGACTTTGCTGTCAAGTGTAGAATCCTTTCAAGAAAAAACTTGTGACCATTTTGTATGGCTTGTCTGGAAACTTCTGTAAATCTTGTTTTTAGTAAAATATTTTTTGTTATTCTAAAAAAAAAAATCATCACCTTGTATACCTTAAACTTACATAGGTTATATGTCAGTAATACCTCAATAAAGTGAGAGAGAAATCAGAGGGAGAAATTGGCCTCGACATAGAGTCTTCAAACAATATTATTAATATTTTCAAACATTTGTGTGATAATCATGAAGAATGAGAAATATGGGAAAGTAAATGACTTCCTTTATAAGCTCATAGTAAAAAAGTCTTATGTCTATACTGGAAACCAGGCAAAAAATACAGTGGAAAAGATACACTACTTCTCATTTTATGATGACATATTGCATCTCCAAATGGGCTCTATTCCAGATCAGAGAAAATAAATTATGCTCTACAAGAAAACAATTCCTGAAATTCACATTTTGTTTGCATTAGAACATACCTGTTCACCTGGAAATATCTCCAGGTAAAAATGGCCTTTGGAAGAGATTGCTACCCATAAGCTGAGATATCAGACATACTTTCTCTAGTAATGACTAAAAAATTAAAATGGACATCAAAAGCCTGGAACTTTAAACAAAAAGACTTTTTTTTTTAAAGATTTTTTAAAAATTTATTTGACAGAGAGAGACACAGCGAGAGAGGGAACACAAGCAGGAGGAGTGGAAGAGGGAGAAGCAAGCTTCCCACCGAGCAGGGAGCCCAATGTGGGACTCGATCCCAGGACCCCGGGACCATGACCCGAGCTGAAGGCAGATGCTTAACGACTGAGCCACCCAAGCGCCCCTACGAAAAGACATTTTTTTAAGAACTCTGACGTTCTTGAGACCTAGCCTTTTAAAGGAGCTCAGAAGAGCTAGTACATCTGAATCTCAGGATTATCTTTCAAAAACTCTCCTGTTCTAGCTCTGACTTGAATTGCTAACTCTTCTTTTTCTTTCCCTTTTTTTTTTTTTAATTAACATATAACGTATTATTTGTTTCAGGGGTACAGGTCTGTGATTCATCAGTCTTTTTTTTTTTTAAGATTTTATTTATTTATTTGAGAGAGAGTTAAAGTGAAAGAGATCACAGAGGCAGAGGGAGAAGCAGACTCGCCGTTGAGCAGAGAGCCCGATGTGGGGCTCGATCCCAGGACCTGGGATCATAACCTGAGCCGAAGGTCACTTAACTGACTGAGCCACCCAGGTGCCCCTGTGATTCATCAGTCTTACACAATTCACAGCGTTCACCATATGAATTGCTAATTTCTGACAAGTATTTTACCTCATTGCATCTCTACTTTCTGTGAATCGAACGATGGTCATTGCTCTCTCAGTACCAGAGGTTCCACTGTGAAGAATTTGCAAATAAAAAGTACTGTGCAAATGACAAGTGCTGCTATGAATAGAGACCATGTTTCTTGTGTTTTCAGATAGCAGTTTTCTTCCAGCCTCAGTCTACATTTACTCTCTTTATTTCTACTAAGAATCATGTGAGTCAAAGGCTTACTTACCATCCTGTCGTCACTGCCTTCCAAGTGGCCCATCAAGATAGCAGGGTACTGTATCCAGAGAAGAGGGTTTTCTGATAAAGAAGATTTGAGAAAGAGGAATGCTATAAAACCTTTTGTCTTTGGGATTAAAAATCAGGAATATCATGCTGTGTTGTATTGATAACATGTAAGAGGTAAATGTAGAATTATGGTCAATCTCATTTCTCCAGGGTACTTTATTTTTTTTCTTTTTTAAGATTTTATTAATTTAATTTATTTATTTGACAGAGGGAGACACAGCCAGAGGGGGAGCAGGAAAGGGAACACAAGCAGGGGGAGCGGGAGAGGGAGAAGCAGGCTTCCCGCGGAGCAGGGAGCCTGATGCAGGGCTAGATCCCAGGACCCTGGGATCCTGACCTGAGCGGAAGGAAGGCAGACGCTTAATGACTGAGCCACCCAGGCACCCCTCCAGGGTACTTTAGATAATGTGTTGCAGTTTACAATTTTAAAAATCGTTTTACTGAGGTTATACACACACATGCATAAATGAGCATACATTACATTAATCATAAATATACAATTCAATGATTTTTTATTATATATACACCCAGGTAACCTCCATTCAGATCAAGATGTAGAAAAATTTCAGCCCTCCATAAGGTACAACTTTTACTGCATTTTAAAATGATACATTTAAATTGTAATTCAAATAAATGAAACATTTAAATATTTGACATGTGTTAAAAAGAAAACCACAGTGCCCAATGGCATGACTTAGGGTAAAGTCCCAAGTCAGTAAACCAAAACTTAATACCTAACCTAGCTGCAGTTTCAACCCTACAGAAATATAACCTTCAACCAGTCCACATGGGAATGCCCTGGGTCAGTACTAGGAAATTTACTGACAACCCCCCCCTCCTTTCCCTTTAGGAGGGCGACCTTGCCTAAAACAATGGATTTTTTTTTGCTAATAACCTCCTTTTATCAAACTCCCTCTCTTCCTCTAACAACCCTTCCTTTTCTGTAATCCTTTAGAGCTCCCTTCTACTTGCTAGATGGGAAGAGAAGAAGGGGTGTCTGGCTGGCTCAGACAGTGGGGTGTGCAACTCTTGATCTCGGGGTTGAGTTCGAGCCTCACGTTGGGTGTAGAGATTACTTGAAAATAAAATCTTAAAAAAAGAGAGACAATAAAATACTCATTCACTGTTTTACCACCTAAATGAAACTACTTTGATTTCTGATAAATTCATTTGTTAAAAAGAAAACCACAGGCCCAAAATGGCATCACTTAGGTTAAGGCCCCAAGTCAGTAAACGAAGACTTAATACCTAACCTACCTGCAGTCTCAGTCCCACAGGAATGTAACCCGTATTTAACCAGTCAGCATAGAATTTCCTGGTCAATACTAGGAAATGTACTGATATACCCCTTCTGCTCCCCTTAGGAGGGCAAACTTGCCTAAACAATGCATTCCTTGCTAATAAATTCCTTTCTACTTTTTTTGTGTGTATATGTATGCCCTTTCTCTGCCTTTAAAAACATTTCTCTTGTTTAGCTCAAAGGAGCTCCCCTCTACTTGCTAGATGGTATGCTGGCTGCCCAATTCATGAATCATTTAGTAAACCCATTAGATCTTCAAATTAACTCCGTGGAATTTTGTTTAACAGACTCAAGTCTTTTTTCACAACACTGAACTTGTATCAAATTCAGCTGCTTTAATTCAGCAAGCCACAACAGTTAAAAACAAGGATATCAGAAAATTGGTGGGGGGCGGTGCCTGGGTGGCTCAGTCAGTTAAGCATCATGATCTCAGGATCCTGGGATGGAGCCCCACGTAGCAGGGAGTCTGCTTCTCCCTCTCCCTCTGCTCCTCCCCCTGTTCACGCTCTTTCTCTCTCCCTCAAATAAATAAATAAATAAATAATCTTTAAAAAAATTATGGGACGCCTGGGTGGCTCAGTCAGTTAAGCATCTGCCTTCAGCTCAGGTTATGGTCCTGCTCCCCCTCTGGCTGTGTCTCTCTCTGTCCTGGGATTGAGTCCTGCATCGGGCTCCCTGCTCAGCGGGAAGCCTGCTTCTCCCTCTGCTGCTTCCCCTGCTTGTGTTCTCTCTCTCTCTCAAGTAAATAAATAAAATCTTTAAAAAAAATAATGTCAAATTTTTTGAGCCACCCTCTCCGGCTTCCGGATATGAAACCATTACCACCACCCCACCCCCACTCTAGCACCTTCTATCTACTGATTTTAGTTATTTATTTGCCAGTCTTTGTACTCACTCTCTTCTGTTCCTCCCTCCGGTTCCTCCCCACCCTCTCCACTCCGCTGTCTGACTCAGGACTAGTCAGTGCTTAGCTGATGGGCCCCAACAAGAAGAAAGGAGAGGGAAGTGGGCGTATTTACTCCCTGCTGGGTCACTTAAAGCAGGTTGCCCCTTTCCCTCCGAGATCACAGCTCCTCTCAAAGTGACCCTCTCCAGGAAAGGTTTTTGAATTACTCTTTCTGGGTTTTGTTAACAATACCTCCCTGTGTCCCTTCAGGCCTAGGGATAACAGCCCCGGGATACTGCCCTGTCCTGGTTGCTTTCGTCTACCCTTCCCACACTTTTGAAAATGGTCCATTTAATCAACCTATTTGGACTATTTTCATTTGAATGTGCCATCTGGTTCCTGCTGGATGTCTGACTCACTCTGTATACGCTCAACAAATGCAACCCAGACCGTCACAAAACTGGAGTTGTAACTATTCGCTTTGTTGATACTGATGGTTAAATGGTCCAGAAAATACTGGCATGGCTCCCACTGCTGGCCTCTGGTACTCAGCAATGGATTGCTCAGATACTTCACAATCCCCGCCAGAAGGGGAAAGAAACTTCACTATTGAACTTCGGTGATAAAGTTCATCTTCAGTGGCTTATGAACTAAGAGTTATGTTATGCTTTCCTTTAAAGTTCATCTTCAGTGGCTTATGAACTAAGAGTTATGTTATGCTTTCCTTAAAAGTTCAGAATTTTTTTAAGTTTTGTTTTTTTTTTAAGATTTTATTTATTTGAGAGAGAGAGTGAGCATGAGCAGTGGGGGGAGGGATGGAGAGAGATAAGCAGGCTCCCCACAGAGCGGGGACCCCCACACAGGGCTTGATCCCAGGACCCCTGGATTATGACCTGAGCTGAAGGCAGACTAACTCCCTGAGCCACTGAGGTGCCCCTAAAGTTCAGAATTTTAATCTTATGAAAACTCTCATGTTAGATACATCTGTGCCAGAGCTATTTTATTTTATTTTATTTTTATTTGAGAGAGAGAGCGAGCCAGGGGAGGGGCAGAGGGAGAGAAAGAATCTCGATGGACTCCCCACTGTCTGACGCGGGGCTCTATCTCACCACCATGAGATCACGACCTGCCATGAGATCAACTGACTGAGCCATTCAGGTTAATAATAGCATGAATCCGGGCACCTGGCTGGCTCAGTCAGCAAAGCATGCAATTTTTTTGATCTCAGGTTGTGAGTTCAAGCCCCACTCTGGGTGTAGAGATTACTTAAGAATAAAATCTTTTTTCTTTTCTTCAAGATTTTATTTATCTATTTGACAGACAGAGGCACAGCGAGAGAGGGAACACAAGCAGGGGGAGTGGGAAAGGGAGAAGCAGGCTTCCAGCTGAGCAGGGAGCCCGATGTGGGGCTCGATCCCAGGACTCTGGGATCATGACTGAGCCGAAGGCAGACGCTTAACGACTGAGCTACCCAGGCGCTCCAAGAATAAAATCTTTTAAAAAATTCTCTATTAAAAGGGGGGTGGGGAGATGGGTTAGCCTGGTGATGGGTACTAAAAAGGGCACATACTGAATGGAGCACTGGGTGTCATATGCAAACAATGAACCATGGATCACTACATCAAAAAATAATGATGTAATGTATGGTGATTAACATAATAAAATTAAAAAAATTGATGAAAAAAATTCTCTATTAAAAAAATAATAATAGCATGAATAGATGGTATAAGAGCTAGATGTGTATTTTCCCTCGGTGGATGCTCAATACCTAGTAGGCTATGGATGAAATAAAAATTCTGATAATTAAAACACTTTTAAAACAAAGAGTCAACCTTTCTAAGCGCTCAAGTTCTTCCATACCTGAGAGACAAGCTCATGTAGAAACTGAAATACTGCTTCCAAGCCTTTGGCAGCATTATTTGGGAAGTTAAGTTTCTGGCTGTGCTCAGTCCAAGTTTCCATTTCACAGAGAAAATGCTTTTTGAGTATTAAGGAGACACTAAATGTGTTAAGGCGGAATTGTTAGGTAAATTATTTCCTTGTAGAAGGAATGCTTCAAACTTGATCAAAAAAACAAGTGAAGGTGACCAAGGGTTAACTCAAACCATTCTATCATTTTCTTGATACAGTTCTCTTTCTGACTTTCAGTTGGACGTGTTTTGCTCTCACAGAGGAGAGGGTGTGGATCAGGAAGTTAAAAAAGAGAGGAAGGCTGAATCAAGGCCAAGAAAAACTTGGGCTTCCTCACTACATACTGAGCAATCCTCTCTTCGCACTCCTCACTCTTGACTGCTCTTATCCATTCCGTGTCTGCAGTTCCCACTATTGATGTAATTTTTCAATGTTGGTAAGGTCCGGGGCCAATGGCCAAGAAGGAATTCTTGAGACATCTTTGGTGCAAATAGGTGATTTTATGAAAGCACCGGGATGGAGCCCTGGGCAGAAAGAGCCGCTGCACCGGGGTTGAGAGGAATGGCCGATTATATACTTGGGAGTTGGGGGTTAGGAAGAAGGGAGGTTTTCAAAAGAACTTTCATATGCTAAAGAGGACCTACAAGATCCTGCAGGCCTTGCCATTATCAAGTTAAGGTTGTTTTTCCCTCTAGCAAAGCATTAACAGGAAGACAGGTGGGAGTTTCCTTCTGGAAGTTCGGGCATTGATAAGGATGCTTTTTTTCTTATAAATCACTAAAACATTTGTAAACTGAGGGAGACTCTTGTCCTGCAGGACTGTAATCTCTAGAAGTTGACCATTTGTTTTTCCTCCCCTTAGCTTTAGGGCAGCCTGGATGGCCTAAGGAATGTCACAAAGATCCTACCTGGGAGTCAGGGGCGGGGGGGGGGGGGGGGGGGCGTATTGGTTGTGGGGTGTCAGCTTGTGCTTTGTCCTCAGCTCACCTTCTGCTCCCTCATCACTGTCACAGATGACTCCCTAATTTAATCTTTAACCCAGACCTTTCTGAGCTCCAGCCCCACACAAACAGTTGTCTTCTTGACCTTGCCAAGCGGAGGTGCCTCAAGGAATACCTGGAAGTCATGACCTTCTTTCCCATGCCCAAGTTTGCTCCCCTTCCTGTATTTCCTGCTTCATAAAGTGACACCATTGTCCATTCAGTTACACAGCCAGATGCCTGAGGATCACCTGGACACATCCCCTCATCCTCTCATCACTCCTCATCCACCTTCTCTCCAAAATACATCTCAAACACATCCACTCTGTCCTTCTCTGGGACCAACTCCCTCGTCCTGCTCCCACCACCTCTTGCTCTTGTCCAGAGAACAGCAGTCACTGCCTAACTGGTTTCTCAGTGTCCACTCTTCCCGTTCTTTCCACTAGTTCTCAGGCTAGGGCTAGAGAGTTCTCATGCTAGAGTGACTGTTTTGAAATTCGAATATGTTCATGTTAATACCCATGCACTCGCATGCGTACACACACAGAGCTTTCCTTCTTCATTAATACTTCAGTAAATTCCTTTTTTATGAAAATAAAAAATTTTAACATGGCTTATGAATTTCTGCATGTTTTGGTCCTGTCCTACTTCTCCAAACTAATCTATTTCCACTCTACCTCCTACTAACTGTATAACCTTGAATAAGTTACTTAACTTCTCTGTGCTTCAGTTTCTTCATCTGTAAAAATGGGAATGATAATAGTATCTTCCTCCTAGGATTGTTGTGAAAATTAGTGTAAAGTGCTTTAGAACTTAATAAGTACTTGGGGTGCCTGGGTGGCTCAGTCGTTGGGCGTCTGCCTTCGACTTGGGTCATGGTCCCAGGGTCCTGGGATCGAGCCCCGCATCGGGCTCCCTGCTCTGCGGGAAGCCTGCTTCTCCCTCTCCCACTCCCCCTGCTTGTGTTCCCTCTCTCGCTGTCTCTCTCTCTGTCAAATAAATAAAATCTTAAAAAATATAATAATAATGAGGGGGCCCCTGGGTGGCTCAGTCGTTAAGTGTCTGCCTTCAGCTCAGGTCATGATCCCGGGATCCTGGGATCGAGCCCCGCGTCGGGCTCCCTGCTCAGCGGGAAGCCTGCTTCTCCCTCTCCCACTCCCCCTGCTTGTGTTCTCTCTCTCGCTCTCTGTCAAATAAATAAAATATTTTTTTAAAAAAACTTAATAAATACCCAACAAATGTTGGTTCTTATAAGCATGTCTTAGCTCCTTCAATCACAAATGGTTTTTCTTCAAAGGTGTCATACTTCCTTCTACCACAGTACCTTTGCACAATGTGTTCACTCTGTTTAGAGCATAGATCCTTCCCATTGTCAACTGGCATCATTTCCTCCCGGAAGTTTTTATGATATCATTAACTAGAAAAGTCCTTTTATTATGTGATATCATAGCAACATATACCTTTCCTTAATAGCACTTATATTTTTTCATTTATTTTGGTGATCACTTGACTAATGTCTCTCTCTCTCTCTCTCTGCTGAAGTCCATGAAGTCAGGGTAGGACTGACTGGCTCGTTTTTCCCTCTTAACACAGTATCCTCAGGCCCCTAGCATCTGACACTGAATAAGTATTCAATAAACATAAGTTGAATAAATGAAGATAGATTTCCCTGTACACTGACAGGAGCTCCAAGGCAATGGGACTTTAACATAGTCTGCAGCTTCCCTTCCCCTAGAACAGAGAGCAGCATTTGTGTGAGTGAGTTAGAATGGGTGTTTCTCAAGGAAGCTCTACTTGACCATGGACACCCTATTAAGTTTCTCCTGGTTGTTGACGATTATCTCCTTGTCTGTGTGCAAGTCATTCCCAAGAGGACTACTTTCCACTGGACAGATGGTCCCAAAACCATGTCCCTTGACAAGGCCAAGCCTGAACATACAAAACAATAACACCTCCTTAAAAAACCTTCACGGGAGAGTTTCACTATTAAAGTTCTCTCTTGGGGTGCCTGGGTGGCTCAGTCGTTAAGAGTCTGCCTTCAGCTCAGCTCATGATCTCAGGGTCCTGGGATTGAGCCCCGCATCGGGCTCCCTGCTCCGCAGGAGGCCTGCTTCTCCCTCTCCCACTCCCCCTGCTTGTGTTCCTTCTCTTGCTGTGTCTCTCTCTGTCAAATAAATAAATAAAATCTTAAAAAAAAAATAAAGTTCTCTCTTGACCAGGAGATGTCAGACAACTTGTTTCCTGGCACCTTTGATTTTCTTCTCAGGCCTGGTTTTGGTTTGCTCCATTTTAACTTGCTCCTTCTTTAGAGTGCTGCACAGGGGTGAAATAATAATCAGAATAGTTCACATCTATTGAGTGTTGTTGTTTGCTGTCACCAGATGTCATGCTAGTCATTTCCTGTACCGTTGACCCTGGAACAACACAGGTTTGAATTGCGCAGGT